TTGCATTGCATGAGGGGATAAGGACACCACTCTTCAAGCAGCCTCAGTGTTGCTGGAGGCACAGCAAGCTAGGATGCTGTACTGGTGCATAGCTGTGCCCAGTGTGAGGTGAGGACATGTTTACCAGCATGGTTATATCAGCACAACCTTGGCTTTAGTCCTCTTCATGCCACCCTAGCAATGGTTTGATGGTGTTTCCTGGCACCAGCTCAAGAGCACTGGGTGGTGCTGGCCCAGGATAAGCATGCTCCATCCTCTTTAAATTTGCTCAAAATCCTTTGGCAGATTAGCTGGGACTGGAGAGCTTTACCCTGCCAGGCTCACACGGCTGCATGGCTTTAGCTTGGAGCCATCTCAATGGCCCCTGTAAGTGGTGGAAGCAGGATGGAGCAAGATGCTTTGTATAAACAGGAGGGATACTGCTATAGTTATCCCAAGACAGTTACTGTCATACAGTTGTCTCAGTCTCTGGATAGGCACTTTTCATCTTCAGAAGAAAGGAAATGCTTTATATTGCTTCAAAGCAGCACAACCCAAAGGAAACAGGGTGAGAAGGGATTTGAGTGACTTCCCCAGTGCCACACTCCCCGTCTCAAAGCAGGGCCAGCTCTTTCCTACCCCAAATGTCATGTTTCCATGCAGGAAGGAGCCAAATCGTGGGGATTAGTTGCACGTAGGAAATACATTGACCTTTCTTGCTGTAAAGCTGCAAAGACCAAAACCGTCTGCGCAGCCAACGGTGCTGAGAAGGCTGGAGCAGACGTCTGCAGAACCTGGGAGAATAATCCCCCTGTAAACACGGATGGGCCACAAAGCAGATATGAAAGCATTTAGCACTGATACATATCATTTCCATGCTAAACAGTGCCGGGAGCCATGTGCCACTGGGGAGCAGCTGGAGCAGAGGGTTGTGCTGGGCAAATGGGACATGGAAGCTCTCCCGGCACTCTTTGCCTTCACTGTTTTACTTAACCCTTCCCCAGCAGGAGGGGTTTTTTCTTCCCTATATGCTGGAGAGAGCAGAAAGAGCAGCATCTGCTTTTCTTCATCAAGCATTTCTCAGGGTGAGCCAGGGAAACATCTTCCAGTCACCCATAGGTTACAAACCAGTGGGATAGACCTCAAAATGCTGCCTACAGCAGTGCTGGAACAAAGCCCCCTGTGCAGTGTGAAGTCCTAGGGGCCTCCTACATCCCTCAAGCCTGAGCATCAGCCCACACCACAGCCCCAGCCTATGGGACATGGAGGGGACCGAGCTCCTGGTGATGCTGCTCCACCTTCACTTCGTGTCCTTGCCATGGTGGGACTGCAAGACACATCCACTTGGTTTGTCATCTGATGGGTGTCCATAGTGCTTTAATGGGAGTGCCAAGCAGCATTTAACCAAGTGCCTTGGAGAAACGTGGAGATGTTAAATCCAGACTTGAGTGTATGGGTAACAGAACAATGCTCCCTTTGTGTGACCACAGCATCTCCATGAATCTGTCTTGGGTTTGGTTATTAATGGCATTGTCATGGCTTGGTTTTACTATTGCAGCGAACTGCTGCTGCCACTCTGGTTCTGCTCACTTTTCATTACTGAGGCTTCCTGCTTGCCCTCCCTGAGCAATCTGCATCTGGGCCCCAGCACAGCCCCTGGGATGCGAGAGGGAAACTGAGGCATGAGGGGATGGGTTAAAGATGGAGTTTGTTCTCAGCCCCACCACTCCCAGGGTGGGTTTTTGGTGACTGCTCTGAGCATTAGCCCTGTGCAGGCATCCTTTTTCTGTGCTGGGTTATTCCAAGTGGAGCTTTTCCTATTCCAGCTGTTCAAGCAAGCTTCTCACTTGGGTGGATTCTCAAGTGGCTAATAGGGAGAGCACTGGCAATTTAACTTTGTGCTTAGCTGAAGCAGTTACCCGTTGCCTTTTCTTTACCTGGATGAATATTATAATAAAATAATTTAACACTTAATATTAATAAAGAAATAAAATTTTAAACTGAGACTTCATTCTCTGTGACCCTCTATTTCTCTGTCAGATTTGGGTCAAAACAACTGAAGAGCTTAACAAATGCTAATGGATGCAGATAGGCTCAAACACGCACCCTACGCATGATTAAATGCACCTTGTTCCCTAAGAAATACAGGCTTAAAACAGTTAAAGTGAAGGTTGCTGCAGCAACCCTCCACATTAACAAAGCTAAAAGCAAAGGTCATAGTTAAAATTAATTTCTTACTACAAGCTATGGAAAGCAGGAGGTAGCACTCACCACGCTCGGATGCTTCCCCAGCTCGGGAGTTGTTTTCCATTACAAAGATGTTTAAAGAAATCCCTCCTTTTCTCTGCACTGGAAATTTGATTTGAGAACAGCCCAAGAAACCAAATCTGCAGATAACTATGAAAACCATCACATTAATAACAGCATTTTTCTGTTCAGTCACTCCTCTGTCAGCTCTCTCCATAGGAAGTTTGGGGAAAGGCATCCAAATAGTACCTAAGACTCCATGTGGAGGGGAAACGCTGTGTTCTCGCACCCTGAGAGCTGTGAATTGGGAGGGTTTTGTCTTAGGAAATGACAGCAGCACAAACACCTTTGGTTCAGTGGTTTGCACTGATCTCTGCCCCTTCCAGGTTGTGCTGCCCATCCACCTGCTGCCTGCCAAGGGTTGTATTCTATAGATATTACAGCCATTGTACTTCCTACCTCACTTTGAGATGGAGCTAGGACGTATTTAGCTGCAGTACGTGTTGGTCTAAATATACACAAATCAGACATAAAAAAGCCTGCAATCTGGCCTACCTAATGCCTACATTAGCACACTGGTGTAGCTGCAAAAAGCACACGAGTCCTGCTTGAAAACTGAAATAGCAGCAGCAGACTTGGAGTATTCTTCCAGGGGAAGGCTGGAAGAGACCAATGGGAGCAGTGAGGAAGGAGAGCTTGCAGCCAGGAGGTGTAAGAGGGTTGGAGGGGCTCTGAGGAGCTTCCCACCAGGACCAGGCTGGTCATCAGGTGGCATCACTAGGTAAGAATAAAACCTGACTTCTTGTTGGCTGTTGTGGGTCTGGATGCCAAAAGTCATGGTTGAAGAAAGGAGCAGGGCTGGAACACCAGAGCCAGGGAGCCCCAGGCCAACTTAGGAAACCAGGTTAGAAAACCACCTTGTACTAGAATTGAGCTTAAGCCAGGAGCTCAGACAGGACTAGGGCAATAGCCATGATCAGGATGGATCAACCAGCCCTTGGGAGCCTTGTCACAGCCCACATTTGGTGTCTATCATGAAGCTCTTCCGGGCACTGAGCTTGCAGGGACCCATCAGCTCAACCAGAACTGCAGCCCCAGCTCTCCAGGCAAACCTTGGCCCTTCGACAGCCTGGAGGTGGCCCACAGTGGACCATAGACCTCTAATAACCGACTTTCCCTACAGGTCCCCAGTGCAATGCCTCAGTAGACCTCATCGGCACGTGCTGGCCCCGGAGCGCAGTGGGACAGTTGGTGGCTCGACCCTGCCCTGAATACTTCTATGGCGTGCGGTACAACACCACAAGTAAGAGGAGCAGCACCAGTGGGGACACGGTGGATGAGGGATGGGGATGTGCATCAGCCCCACGTGCATCCGGGGCTGTGGGGCATGAGTGATGCTACATCTTTGAGTACAGAGCTCACTGGGGTCTCTGTGGGATCCACCATAAAAGCGCTCTCATACCCCTAATTCCAGGGAGGGTGGTTGCACAGCAGCACCTTTATAAGCAGGTCCTCCCAGACATGAGAAGGGGGAGAATGCTGGCTCCTTGGGGGGCATAGAATCATAGAATCCCAGACTGGTTTGGGTTGGAAGGGACCTTAAAGCTCCTCCAGCTCCAACCCCTGCCACGGGCAGGGACACCTTCCACTAGAGCAGCTTGCTTCAAGCCCCTGTGTCCAACCTGGCCTTGAACACTGCCAGGGATGGGGAGGCCACAGCTTCCTTGGGCCGAGGGGAAGAGGAGTGAGCCTGCCCTGCTGTTGGAGATGGCATAGAGGTCTACAACCATTCCCATCCCTGACCCATTGTCCTGAAGAGGCTCAGGATCTCTTCTGTTAATGTACTGCTGGCATCTCCCCACTGCTGATGCTAATCAGACTTGTAAGCAAGGCACCATCTGAGCTGGCTTCAAAGCCAGGGGACTTGATGCCAGTGACCCCTGCTTCAGTGGCAATCATCAGGTCACATCTTTGTACCCATCCCCACGCACTGTTTACCCTTCAGTGGGCACCCTCTCTTTCAGACAATGGCTACAGGGAATGCCTCGCTAACGGGAGCTGGGCAGCACGGGTCAACTATTCCCAGTGCCAGGAGATCCTCAGTGAAGAGGTAGGACCTTGGTAGTCCCTTGGCTGGGCTCTCAGCCATGGGGTGAGGAACAGACAATGGGGTTTTGAAAGGCAACAGCATCCACATCAGGAACAGCCCGAGGGAGATGTGGGGTGGGTGTGCGGCAGCAGATATAAGGTTGCAATCCCATCCCTCCCTGCTGGCAGTGACGTAAAGATGTTTAGGAAGCTGAAAGGGATAAAACAGATGCTGAGCAAAAATTACATACTCCTGAGTAGGTCAAGCTACCCCTCAGAGTAAAGAAGAGATACAGGCTGTTCATTTGCAGTTGATCCCATCTCTGGTATTTAAGATGCTGATAACTCTTGCCAGGAATGGTTTTCTCACCGAGTTAATTGCTAATTCCCAGGCTGGATGAGTGTCTAACAGCAGGAGCAATCCATTAATCTAATTAACACTCACACCTTCCTGCTCCCTCTGCCCAAATTCATCCCAGCCTCTCATACCCCCAGGGCAATGGGGAATGAACTGAGACATCAGATGTCACATTGCTGCTGAGCTCGCCTGAATTACAGCAGGATTTCCCCAGATGATGGGTTGGGGATGTCCCAGCAATGAGCAAGGGGAATGTAGGGAATGTAGGGACAGCAACCATGAGCTTCCCTGGCTCATGGACAGGAGAGGCACCAACCTTGTCCTTTGCAGGGCAAGGTTGGTGTCTCTCCTGTCCATGTAAGCCCCATCCAACCGGCCCCTTCTCCACTGTCCTGGCATGTGCTTGGCTCCAGTTGCTTTCTGAAAAGGACCCAAAACGTGTGGTGCAGTTCTCAGAGGAGGTGAGTTTGTGCTGGTACCCGGGGCTGCTGCTGACCCCCTCCCCATCTCCCCTCACCAGAAGAAGAGCAAGCTGCACTACCACATTGCTGTCATCATCAACTACCTGGGGCACTGTGTCTCGCTGGGGGCCCTCCTCGTGGCCTTCGTCCTCTTCATGCGCCTGCGGTGAGTGGTCTGACCTGCTGCCATGTCCCTAAAGGGTGGACAAGCCCATAGAGGTCACTTCATAGCCCTTGGGTTGGGGATGAATCCATCCCCTGCATTTTGTCATGTCCTCTCCCATGGCCATTGCTCTCCAGTCTGGAGGGATGATGCCTATCCTGGGGTTATTTCTCCCTTGCTGCCTTTAAAGCTCTTGGTTATGGAGGCATCCCTGGTGCCTTCCACCTCTGGACCTTGGTCCTGCCCATCTCACCCAGAGCATGGTCCCAGCAGCTCACCCTTGGTCTCCCAACAAAGACATTCAGCTCCACAAACAGCCCTGACCCCCCAGACACCCACTGCATTCTGATGTCCCCCCCCTTCCCCAGGAGCATCCGGTGCCTGAGGAACATCATCCACTGGAACCTCATCACAGCCTTCATCCTACGCAATGCAACGTGGTTCGTGGTGCAGCTCACGATGAACCCAGAGGTGCACGAGAGCAATGTGGTAGGTGCAGCTCAGTGGGGCAGCCAGTTTGATCCCAGCCCTTTGCAGCTGGAGTGTGTGTGGAGCTTGAGCATCCTAAAGATTGAGGGTCTAACTAGCTGCTGATGGCTGGAGGATAGCACTGGCTTATGATACACAAGGGTTCAATTGCTCTGCTGTGCTCTGTGATCAGTTTTATCACTACAACACAGAACCCTGCTCTTTACCCTCCCTGTCTCCTCCTAACCCCCCTTGGCAGGTCTGGTGCCGCTTGGTCACTGCTGCCTACAATTACTTCCACGTCACCAACTTCTTCTGGATGTTTGGTGAGGGCTGCTACCTGCACACAGCCATCGTGCTCACCTACTCCACAGACAAGCTCCGCAAATGGATGTTCATCTGCATCGGCTGGTGTAAGTACCAGGAGTCACCTCCAGTGATGCCCACCTCTATCCTCCACCTCTCCTTGCACTCAAAGCGCTGCTAAAAGGTTGCCAGGAGCAGGAGGATGGGATTTGCATGGCCACATGAGAGAACATCCCTGTTACAGCAGGGATTTGTGGCAATGCTCTACCCCTGAATGTTCCTCTGTGTGTTCCTCTGCAGGTATCCCCTTCCCCATCATCGTTGCCTGGGCCATCGGGAAGCTGTACTACGACAATGAGAAGTGAGCCTGATCGCTCTCATTCCCCATTCTCCTTTCTATCCCAGCTGCAGTGGCAGGCATGGTTCCTGCCTAGAAGGGCTGACATGAGGCAGAATACATGGAAAGGGTGGGAGGAAAAAAAGGATAATGTTCTTCTTTCTTCCATCACACCTTCAGGCTCTGTGCCACATGAGCCCTGCCTGCAGCTGCCTAGTGCTGCATTTTATCCTTCAAAGGACAAATGAGATTTTGAAGGCAGGGGGAAAGGCCAGATTAAGCCAGAGCTCCTACAATGTATTTGCTAAATGGAGCTGGGATTTAATCTACCAGCAGAGATAGAAAGTACCACCACCTGAGCCATTTTCTCAGAGACTTGCTAATGGAAGTCTTAACAGGCACCTGAGAGTTCATCACTGGGTTTAAGCTAAAAGAAGCCCATGGAGATGAATGGCAACTTGCCTTGTTTTTCAGGGCTGGTTTTACCCCTGACTCCCAGAGCCTTGTGCTACACACGCAGGCACAGCACTGATATAACAAAACCAAACAAGGTGCTCCCAGGAGCTTCCCCAGGGATCGCTGGGGACAGAGCCAACTTGGACATGTGCATGTGTAAGGTTGTCCCTGCTTCTCTTACAATAGCCACTTCCCACATCCATATGGGGCCCAAAAACACCCTCACAAGCCCCCTGTACCTCCACCTTTGGGGGGAAACTATTCCATAGTGGCTACAGCCATTCACATTGTGCATTCACCCTATAGTGACTTACTGAGATTGTGCAAATCCAGGTCACTCCCGCTGCTGGCTTGTTCCCAGCACTGCTTGTCCTTGCCTTGCAGGTGCTGGTTTGGGAAGAGAGCAGGAGTTTATACAGACTACATTTACCAAGGCCCCATGATTCTGGTGCTTCTGGTAAGAGTAAAGTGGCCTTGCTTGCTAAATAGAGGGTCCTTCCTGTCTGCACGTGGGATAAGGCTGTTCCTGAGCAGGGTCTTGCTGCAGATGGATCTGCAAGCCCAGCTCCCCTCACCCAAACTGCATCTTAACCAAATTTGGGCACCTAACCCACAGTAAGAAATAGCATGCATGAATCCTGCTGGCTTGGGATGGGTTAGAAAGGGAGACATCACTCTGATAAGGATGCTCCTGTCAGCAGACCCACACATGCATCACTAAGTGCCTCCTGGCAACATCCCTGCCCTGGCACTATTTGGGTGCAGGTGGCTGCTTTGCCAGGCATTTGCAGAAGCCTGGGCACTTCATTCCTTGATCCACATCACCTTTCTCCTGGCCCTTGGCTGAGCAGCGGTGCTTGAACCAGTGCTCAGATGGAGCATCATTTGCTGGGGCTTTGCCCCTTTGGGAAGGGACAAAGAAGAGCAGTGATGGCAAGTCGCAAGCAGCGGTGCCAGGGGTCCAACATGCATTTGCAGGAGGAAAGATGTGCACAAAGACCCATGACTTTTCCTCCCTCCTTGCCCAATGCTGAGAAATCCCAAGGGAGTATTAATCAGCAGCACTAAGCAGCTGCAGTGAATAATTGATCCTGCTCCTCATTTCCCAGCCCATCAGGTAGCCAGGCCACTTCTAATTGGTGGCAATTGAGCTCAGCTCCCAGTGCCACCTTCCCATGCCCTCATTTAGCAGGTCAGCAGCCAGGAGAGCATCCAAGCTTGCTGTGACAGCAGCCACTCTCCTAAAACCCCTTCAGCTGCATATATTCCTCCTCCACACGTTTTCACCTTCAGCCGTTTCTCTAACACTTGCCCTTCTTCTTCAGTCTCCTGGTGTGCCCTTGGCCTTCATCAAACCCCTAAACCTTAGAGCTAAGGTGCTCTAAAAACATCCAATGTCTTGTTCCAGTGCATGGAAGGCAGTAGATGAGGTTCAAGAGGAAACATTCCCATTTCTCCGGGCGCAGCCTCTGCTGAGGAACTGGGAGGGAACCTTGGGGGAGGAGACACTAACCAGGAGCCCTTTTCCTTCCAGATCAACTTCATCTTTCTCTTCAACATCGTCCGAATCCTCATGACAAAGCTCCGAGCTTCAACCACGTCAGAGACCATCCAGTACAGGTAAGAGCATGAGTGAGCCTGCAGAAAACGGACCCATGCGTTAGCATGACTGGGAGGAACAAGAACAGCCTCATCAAGTATCAAGGCACGGAGAGACATCTAAGAGCTCCTCAAATGCTTTTTGGAGGCACGTGGCCATCACATCTGGGGTTGTTCAGAAATCCTGGGCAGTGATGGAGAACACGGATGGATATATCTGCCTCTGGGAGCTGTTGGGAGCGGAGTCTCTGTACAAAACCCTGTTCTGGTGGGACCCCACCAGGTCACCGGGTTCAGAGCTGCAAATCCTGGCACAAAGGTGAGAATTAAATCTCTGCTTGAGAGCAAAGCAAAGGCGGAGGAAGGAGCAATGAATCGATGTCAGCCCAAACACCTCCTCACGAAGCAGTGAGGGGAAGGCAGCACACTTAGCAGCATCAGGCAGTAAGATTTAACCCTTCCCTGCTCTGGAATATTTGGGAGATGCCTGGTCAGATCTGTTCTCCAGAGCACCCAGACCTGGAGATGACACCTTGGTCTTCATCAGTGCTTCTCTCCATTTCATTTCATTTTGGGGGCAGGAATCAGGGAATCTCACTGTGTGCAGGTTTGGGACGGAAGGTGACTTTTTCAGCTGAGCATGGAAAAATTCAGATGCGGTCACTAGGGAAAAGCCAGCTTTCCTCAACGTGGGGTGTTGAGCTGGGATGAATGATTCAACAAAGATAAAGGTTATTGGAAGAGGACGGTTGGCCTCAGAGTCTTGAGAGACTTTTGAGTTCTCAAGTCAGTTATCAAGTGTGCAGACTGCTTGAACCAGGCAAGGGACAGCCCCTGGGGGACTCCTGCTCACCTTGGATGATGGCTTTTGGTTAAAAGCTGATAGATCCCCGGCTATCATTGCTGCTGCCTTGGAGAAGCTGCAGCAGTGCATGTGCTGTCCCATACTTTGCCATCCTGAAGGTGCTCATGCCCTGTGGCTCTCCTCTAGGTGAGTGATGCAGAACAGGTCCCAAGCACTGTCCTTGCCCACCCCTACCAGAGGTGACTTTCCTGCATTCAGCTAATGTTGGAATCTATCCATTCACAGGATCTTTAAGCAAAAGCTTGACTCAGCATTTTCTTGTTCCTTAATCCGAGTGGATGAGATGCCAAGCCCCAATCCATCCTACGCTCTCCTGCATAAGCACTATGACTTTTCAGAAACCACACTTGTAATCTCATCAAGAAAAGATATCAAATTAATTAGTACCGTTTCTCATAAACCCATGCTGAAGTGTGTGAATTATTTTATCCTCTTTAATTCCTCTTTAATCGATCCTCCAAGCAGCCAAGCAATCATTTCATGCCAGCTCAAGGTCAGGCCTCCACTCTGCACTGCCCTTTTCTGGATGGAGCAACCACAGTAGGTGTCCAGTGCTCAAACCAGCCCAAGTCACTTGGGGGTCACATGAGAAAACAGCTCAGTGCTGCTCCATCCTCCCCAGACCCAGACAGACCAGTCCCAGCCATGCTGGTGCTGAGTCCTTGCTCCTAGGGCTGCACTGCAGCAGCTCAGGTCAATGTTTTTCCTCCAGGAAAGCAGTCAAGGCCACGCTGGTGTTGCTGCCCTTGCTGGGGATCACCTACATGCTCTTCTTTGTCAACCCGGGGGAGGATGAGATCTCCAGGATCGTCTTCATCTACTTCAACTCCTTTCTGGAGTCCTTCCAGGTATGGTCCTCAGCACAAGCTTCCATCCCCGTTCCCCACCAAGGGATGTGGAGGAGCCCATCCTTGCTGATGCCTCACCCCGCTTCTGCCACCTCCCCAAACCAGACACCCCCAAACCCCAGGGCTGTTCCAAAGCTCCTGAGCCTGCGGGTGCCCTCTGACCACAGCTCCACAGCGACCCTGTTGCTTGTCTCCTTCCAGGGCTTCTTCGTCTCTGTCTTCTACTGCTTCCTGAACAGCGAGGTGAGCACCAGGGGCTGGGGGTGTTCAAGGGGGTCCTCACTATTCCTTGCAAACAGACACATGCGGGTGCCTGGCACCTGGACAACAGCAATTCCCAGGCTCTGACCCAAAACACAGACAGCAGAAAGCAGGAGGTGAGGGCAGAGGTTGATCCTGAGCTTTTTTCTCTGCTTCTTCCCAAATGCTCTTGTACCTTCGCTGGTTCAGGAGAGTTTGCTCCAGACAAGCTTGCTTTGTTACCAAATCATGTATAACTGATGCAGGAGAAGAAGGGACAGGACCAGGACTACCAGGTGGCTGCTGCTCGCATCACTCCCAGTCCCTTGCAGCATCCAGTGCAGCGCGTAAGAAGCTGCAGAGCTCCTGCTCAGATTCATTTCTCCCTCTTGTTTCAGTTTTGAGTTCAGAGACACCTTTGTTTAGGTTCATCTCTCTTTGCAGCTGCAACAGCTGCTTTTCACCAGTATCGCATCAAACAAGGCTGGGTGCCCTGGGAGGTGACAGGGGCTCCCATGGCCCTCCCTGCCTCGGAACCAGGTTTTGGTAGCATTTTTTAATAGAATCATGGAATCAGATGGGTTGGAAAAGACCATTAAGATCAAGTCCAACCATTCCCCAGCACTGCCAAGGCCACCACTGCCCCATGGCACTGAGGCCTCATCTCCACTGGGTGTGAACCCTTGCAGGGACGGTGACTGCAGCCCTGCCCTGGGCAGCCTGTTCCAATGCCTGAGCACCCTCTGGGGCAGGAACTGTTCCTCAGCTCCATCTAAACCTGCCCTGGTGCAGCTTGAGGCCGGTTCCTCTTGTCCCATCCCTTGTTCCTTGGGAGCAGAGCCCAGCCCCTCCTGGCTCCATCCTCCTGTCAGGCAGCTGTAGGGAGCGATCAGGTCCCCCTGAGCCTTCTCTTCTCCAGACTGAACCCCCCAGGTCCCTCAGCCGTTCCTCATCAGACTTTGATTGAAAGACTGAGGATGGCTGGTGCCCATGTGCAGCTTCTGAGAGCTGTGCAGGGATTGACTGTCCCCTCCTGTGTCTCGTCCCCGCAGGTCCGATCGGCTGTACGGAAGCGGTGGCACCGGTGGCAGGACAAGCACTCCATCCGTGCCCGTGTGGCTCGGGCCATGTCCATCCCCACCTCCCCAACCCGTGTCAGCTTCCACAGCATCAAGCAGTCCACGGCCGTCTGAGCCGGGAGCGAGGTTCCAGACAGGATGAGGAGCTGGTGTCCGTGCTGTGAGGGACCCTGACATGGCACAGCACAGGAGCCGGGTCCTGCTGCACCCACTGCAGCAGAGGGTGCATTAACTCGCTGTGGGAAACCCTACAGAGGCTCCTGCCCTATTCACTGGGGCAGACCTGTAGGATAGGACAGCTGAGAGGCTGCTTTGTCACCTCCCTGGCAGCGGTGTGACCTGCTGGGTGGCAGAAGGAGCCAGAGAAGCCTGGAGAGGTTGCAGCAGCCACCCTGGGTGCGCTGCCCCGTGTCCCATCGTTGTCATAGCTTTGAGGTGACAGGACACCAGGACCTTGTTGGGACAGCCTATGAGGCTGGTCCTTGGGAAGCTGGGTCAGCCTTCTAGTGGGAGGCTGTTGGGAAGGGGCATAACCCTCTGCGGGGAGTTCAAAGCCCTCTGAGTTGACATGGGATGGATGGATGGATGGATGGATGGATGGATGGATGGATGGATGGATGGATGGAGAGCCCTGGATGGATTGCTTTATGTGGCTGTGGTTTTGTACCACTGGGGTTATCTGAGCCCTTCTCCTGCCCCTTGCTACATCCCCAGGATGTCCTGTAACTGCTGTTTGGTCCGGCCAGGTCATTTCTCATCTCAATACCAAGGATCTGAGGGTGGGAGAGGGGAGGGAACAATGCAGGGTGCAGGGATGGATGCCAGGGGCTCTGAACAGCCACATGGAGGGGGGTAGGTCTGAAGGGAGGCATAAGGTTTAGGTTATCCTTTGGCCCACCTTGCCTAGATGGATCTATAGGTCTTTGCAAAGCCCCTGACCCTGTGCCCATGTCTGGAGGGTGGAAAAGTCAGGAAGAACAGCAGCGAAGAGGTGCTTGAGCTCCCCAGAGGCAGCTACCATAGGGACATGGCTTTGCTCCCCTCCTCCCTGCCCTGCTCTCACCCATGCTCAGTGCCAAAGCTGCTCCTTGCTCTCATGCAGGGGATGGGGCCAAATCATTCCTGCGCAGGGTTAAGTGCCTTGGAGGAGCAGCAGCCTCCCTCCCCATGCTGGGGACATCACCACATCTCCCGTGCAGCTGCCAAGCTCCTGATGTCCTGTTTCATGTGGTCACCCAAAGCAGCTCAGCAGAGAGGTCCATGAGAGGTGGAGCCACGTGAGGTTTGGGGATGCTCAGGCAGGAAGATGGTGACAGAGGGGTTATGGACCGAGTCTGCTCTCTGCATCCCAGGGATGTTGCCTGGTTTTGTACAAATCCCTTCATGTTCCTGTGCCTCAGTTTCCCTGCTATAAAGAACAAACCTAAGTGTTTCCTGCCCTAGGGAGAGTTGAGCATTTGGGAATTGTCGTGGTCTGAGATTTCCTCAGGATACACCGCCAGAAAGGAATAAAATCTTCCTCTTTTTATAGGAGACACAGGCAAAAACCTTCAGTTCTCTCTTTAAGCATTTCAGAAGCTCAATAGTTTGTAGCAAATTCCTCCCATTTCCCTCCCACTGGGATTTCCTCCTTGCATGTCAATGGTGCAGCCAAAACCAGAACTACCCCATTGCCCCTGGTAACATGCTGGGAGCTGCAGCAGCTCCCTGTATGACACAGTGACCACAACAAGGACCATCCCCTGTACATGGGGCAGGTTTTCATCCTTGTACAAGCTCATCCATCACCAACAGTCCCAGAAACTGCCCCTTATTCAATATATGGGTGAGAAAAAGACCCCCAGAGTTATTCAATGGGAAAACTGGGAGCTCCCACTGCTGATGCTCTACAAGGAGCAGATTTGGGTGTCCCCACTGTGGGCCAGTTTGATTAACAAAGATCTACTGGCTACAGAGGAGGGGAAATGCCCAGGGAGCTTGTTTTCATCTGTACAAGTGATGTTACCAAAAAAGAGATGTGCTTCACCTTCAATTTGGATTTTCCTAAAGCGGTGTCATTTTGGGTGGAAAAGAAGATGGAAATTGCAAAACCAAAGAAAGAAATTCAACCAGAAGCATCTGTGTTCGCATCCCTGGTTTTTCCTTCTGTTGGTGGTCTCTTCTGACTGATACGACTTTGCTTTGTGTAGCTGGAGAAGTGTGTGTATTCTCAGCCTGGTTTGATTAAAGTTACTTCGATTCCTCTCACAAGGGCTTTTGGAGCATGTTTATCATTTGGAAAACACAACCCCAGCATGGGCTCTTCCCACTTCCCATGGGAGCATCTCCATGCTGCACTGGGACCAGCACCCTACTGGCCAGAGGCACTAGGGGCAGCTGGTGGTTTCTTGTCCCCTCTCTACTCCAAGTCTACATGCCCATAGCATGATACCATGAGGGTACCAAGACCACCTCATCTAAAGGGGGATGAGGAGCACCCTATGTGGGTCTCCCATTTAAGTACCATCAAGGTTAGAGAAACTCCTGTTTCCTGTGACGCTCCCTCTCGCCAGCTGAGCAAAGGCAGAATAAAGCTGTAATGTGCTTCCCAGCAGGAGGGAGGGCCAATTAAACTCGACTTTCATTCCATCCATCAATATTTACGAGGGAAATTCAGACACAAACATCTTTCTGGTCAAGCTCTTCCGCTGCAGAATTAATTTGTTCATCACACAGAGCCTTGGAGAGCGCTGTAATTTGGTAAGCACCATGCACATAAATAATAATGACGGGTTCCTGCTGATTGCTTGATTGTATTTAAAGATATCAAGTAATTCCAAAATTAATGGCCTACAGAGCCTGTGCTCTTGATGAGGTTGTAGCCTCTTGAGATAACCCTGCATTAACCCTTGATGTTATTGGGGCTGGGAAAGGCGAAGTGGGACCTTGCAAATGGGGTATCCCAGGCTGGGAGGGGGGCAGGCTCACAGGAGCCTTTCCAGCACACACAGATGGAATCTGATTTAGCTCCTCTATTTGATTAACACATGAAACCCACCATGGAGTTGCTCTCCAGCCTCAGTCTTGCCATCCAAGGTCAAAGCTTGGGGGTCCTGGTTGGCCTGTGCTACATCCCCAGCAAACCAAGAGCCACCAAAGGAGCAAACCTGCCATCCAGAGCCTGAATGGAGGGAGAGGAAAGCTCATGATTTAATTCTTTATGGAGGATGTGAGCTTTCATCCCACCTCCCAGACAGGCTGTCCTGGGCAAACATCCCCGCTGCCAGAGCCAGGACCTGCTCCACTGCCCCAAGAATGATGCACTGTCCATCAGATGGAGGGTTTATAGCTTTAAAGCCAAGCTGGACCATCATTCCCCTTCCTCCACCCTGGCTCAGACACAGCATTTCTGCCCACAGCTTTAGGCCATTCCTATATGTTTAACCCTGTCTATACCTTCCCAGGCTGGCAATGCTCCTGGAAGGAGTAGGAGGTGGGAAGGAAGGGAGAGGAAATTTTGGGGTGGCTTATAGGCCTATGGGCTCATTGGTGGCTTTCTGCAAGATGCTTCTTGTTTGTGAAGTGTTGCCCTTCCAGCACTTCCAAACCCCCACATAACTATTGCAACCCATAATTCCAATGCCATCTCTCACACTGCTCCCTCCTGCTGATGTTTGTCGCTGCAGGCACAGTTAAATGGCTTTTCTCCTCTCCTGGCAGCAGGAGACAGGAAGCTCCCTGCCACTCTCATGACATTTTCAAAGGGCTGGATGTCTCCAGTTTGGAGGAGATCTATAGATCAGAGATGCAAGCACGGCTCTGACAGGTCCCATCAGAGATCTACCTGCTCAGCCCTGGAGAAAAGACTTCTTTGGCTGCTCCCTGGGGAGCGGTGCCAAAGGCAGCAGAGGTGTGGTGCATCACACTGTGTGCCGGAGATGGGCATCTGCAAGGAGCAGTGATGGGTCGGTCGCCATGGCCAAGAGTCACCTCCCAGCTCAGTGATTCTCATGGGGATGATCATAGGATCAGGGGGCTGGAGCACCTCCCATATGGAAATAGGGAGAGAAAGTTGGGGCTGCTCAGCCTGGAGAAGACTGCGTGGAGACCTCATAGCAGCCTTCCAGTATCTGAAGGGGGCTATAGGGATGCTGGGGAGGGACTCTTCACCAGGGACTGTAGTGACAGGACAAGGGGTAATGGGTTAAAACTGAAACAGGGGAAGTTTAGATTGGATATAAGGAAGAAGTTCTTCCCTGTTAGGGTGGTGAAGCACTGGAATGGGCTGCCCAGGGAGGTTGTGAATGCTCCATCCCCGGCAGTGTTCAAGACCAGGTTGGGCAGAGCCTTGGGTGCCATGGTTTAGTGTGAGGTGTCCCTGCCCATGGCAGGGGGATTGGAAACAGATGATCTTAAGGTCCTTTCCAACCCAAACCATTCAATGATTCTATGTGCACCAAGGGTTGTCCAGGTTTTCCAGCTTTCTTTGGAAACAGTTTGGCCCCTCGCAGTCTCCAAGAGCTTGCTCCCATCACAGCACCAGCAGAGCCCCTGCAGGAACCATGGCTGAGCTTCCCTGCCCTGCTCTCCTCCTTGCCAGGCAAAAGCTTCCTTGGGAAACTCCTGCTTTTAGGCTGCTCAAGTCTTCTGCTGAGCCTCCTGGAGAAACTGAGGGCTTGCACTGTGTTGCATAGGGAGATGCTGAGCACCATCCTGCAAGAGCCCTCTGCTACAGAACATCCTCTAGCTTCAGTCTTCCAGATCTGATACCTGCTTCAGGAGACATCAGTGTGATGAGGGACGAGGGACCCTCCGCAGAAGCCTCCTCTGCCCCAAAGGAAATAGCCCCAGTGGGACATACCCCATCCTTACCTAACCAGGTGTCAGGGCTTGTGGCTTGGTCCCAAAGGATTGTCTCCGAGTGCATCTCTTGGCTTCCAGAATGGCTTCAGCTTTGCTTGGGATGAAACCAAGCCTTCAGGAGAGCAGATGATTGCATGCTGCAACAAGGAGGGTCTCCTCTCCTATGCTTACAGCTCCAGGGGTGCTGGTGAGGTCTTAGAGGCTGGATGAGGTCCTTCTTGCAGGGATGGCTGGAGAGTCCCAAGGAGCTGGTGGCTCTGGAGAATGTGAAATACGGGCCAAAATACTGCGGGTATGTGAAATACGGGCCAAAAAGGAGAGTCCTGCTTAAGCACTTGCAGCATTCCTGATTGGAGAGAACTTTTCAGCACAGCAGGAGGCAGGAGGACCTGGAGCAACACAACCAAGGAAAAACACAGCCTGAAAAGCTGTGTAAATGGAATACCCTGCAAACACAGAAGCAGGACCTCAGTCCAAGGCAGAGAAAAGCAACGGGACTGTGGCTGCTGGTTCAAAAGGAAAATGAGATATTCAGGAAAAGCTTTGGATAATAGGCTAGACTGATTACATCCGTATTGAAGTTTGATAGGCGCTGCATCACTAACCCAAAGCCATGGTAATAGAAATACTATGATTCTGATGAACATTATTTATGTGGCTAACGGGAGCTGTATTTTAGTGCATTAATGTGGTTAAGATGTGCTTAGAGACGCAGATTGACTTAAGCAGACAAA